CATAAATATTTCATTTGTTTTGTTAGTGTAGGATTATTAAAGATTGCATACCAATCATCTATTTTTTTATATTACCACACTTCGAATTTAATAGTAGCTATTGAACTATAAATTAGACCTTATTCCTCGTGGGAACTATACTCTTAACTCACAAATTTTATTACTTGTACAACGATCCCGTACGCTTGCGGATTTCACGCGAACAAGTTTTTGATGTTTCATTACATAACTTACATTGTTGCAAAATATTAAGATACAATGAGTTTCTCAAACTATGTATTGAAAAATGTGTCGAAATTTTTGATAATTTGCCGCGAATATTTTGATGAGATATGTTATGAACAAATATTTGTTGTCACAACGCATTACACGATATACGAGACGTCCTTATATGTACATAGTATTTCATAAAATGTGTGGTTAAAAGTTAATTGTTAACTTTAACTTAGATTTTAATCAATTTTTTAGTCGAATCAAACATGCATTAAACTCCTATTTTTCAAGGCAACCCAAAAGATGTAAACTACATGAATAAATAGAGAATTTACTCTCAACGATAGAGCAATTTTGTGACAATACCAAAACCCAAAACTGCCTCACAAGATATAATATTCATTTTCTAATTATGAATCTAAAAATAATCAAAAGCAAACTTGTATGATGTATAAACCAGCTAAATGAGTCACGAGCACTACAGACTGATCGATGAGTCGTTTTTGTTGGTTGATCAAGAGGGACAAGGACCTAGGTTCCATATATTCAGGACGTGTTCGGTAGAGATTAAAATTGAAAAATTAGCCGTTATTGTTGCCTTTTATTAGACGAGTGAGACCCAATAACGACTATATTTTCAATTTTAAGTGGATTTTAAACTTGTCCAAACATGCTCTCAAATTTTAATGAAGTTTGTTGTTATGTAAAACCTTGAAATCAAAGGAATACAACTCTCAAATAATTTGTTATGACAATTTCTACGTTCACAATGCTCTTCAATGCCTACGTAACAGAAATTTGTTGTAACACTCCCAATTTGATTTCGAATAAGATAAGTGCAAGAGCAATTCAGAGTTTCGCTTTCTATTTATTTCTCGATTAATTAATTTTTTTGTAAAGTTTTGTTTCTTGGAAGGAAAAAAAAACAAAGTAATTCCAAAAGTCGACATTATAAAAGCGGGGATGACTCGACAAACCAATAATACGCTGTTCCATATTAAACTCTTGTTTGAAAGTGATTTTTTTAAAAGCATTTTTTCTCAAACTCACTTTTAATTCAGAGCCTGTTTGATGCACATTAAAATGAGAGAATGCTTTTTTTTTTAAGCGATGTGATGGGGA